CAGTTAGCGATAAGGACTCTAGAGGGCACCACAGTTGTGGCATTACCAGGTGGCAGCACTGCTGTGCAATGATGTCAGCACTTTTGGTGTTACATATTGTAGATTACTATTGTATTGAAGAGACCTACATCAAACTGTAGATAGGACATTTTTCTTTTTATTTGCAAGCTCATATTTCTTTGAAAAAGAAAAAAAAATTAAGGAAGATTAGTATGCTAGTAACTTAGGAGAATATAAACCTTGTGCTGCAGGCAATGTACACGTCTAGATTCCCTTAGTCTGTTAATTAGGCTCCTGTAATTGCCGGTGGACTGTAGATGATGTCCTTAGATTGTCTTCCCTGTGATATAACATTTGCTGTTGACATAGATCCACTATTTTTATAAAACCTGTGTGTTCATGTAAATTCTTTCACAATGGATTCTCCCACTGTCCATGGTCGAATGGGCCCAGCAGACTTGGAACCAGGGGGGGTTAGGGGAGTGCTGCTTCAGAAAAACAGTTCAGACAATTTCATCGAGGCTGGTAGCCATAAATCCCTCACGCACTGAAGAATGGTCATCTGAAGATGTAGTTTCCTCCACCTGTCCTCCCTGGGTTCAGACCTGTCTACCTATGCACAGCATCACTTCTGTGTTGATAGATGTTTTAAATAGTATGTTTTGTAAGGGTACTTTTTTTTTAAATATTTAGTATCAGAGCATAAATTTATTATATCTCATTTACCAAAGTATCATTTGAGCATTAGCGCACCGTCACACCGGGCACCCACCAAATGGCATTGCTGAGTTCTGCTTGTACATTATGTTGCTATTCATTATATATGATTATATGAAACTTGAGTCAATAATGTATTCTTTGGTGAACATTAGAGATAAATTTACTTGAAAATTAGGGTGCTATCCTGAAAGTGGATTGCCGGTGAATTATGTAGTCCCAAATTGAAATTGTATTACTTACTCTTTAGTGTAAATTGAAAACGGATCAAAACTAGCTATGTTTAAGCTCATCATGGTCTGTAATCATGATGAATGCCATGTAATTAATTTTTTTCACCATTAGTGTCAGCTTTCTTACAGTAGCATTAAAGCTACCTAAGTTGGCTCTTATTTGAGTACCTCTTTGTTGCTGCTTACATTACATTTCCATATGTGACCAACCTAAAAATCATGATTTGGCTGCTTTCAAAACTTACCCAGTATGCAACAATTATGTATGTAATTTTATGTAAATTATATTTTCTATATTATGGCTCTCTATGAAATAATTGAAGTGCTAATAAAAAAATCCTTGATTTTGTAGCAAAATATTTGCTGTTGTTTTGTAGTTTTGATTTTAAAATAGTAGTTAAAATGGACTGAATTTGGTTTGAAACAAGTTATGCATCGCGAGAATTTTGCAATGGAATAATACTAGGGGTAGCAACATAATGACTTGTGTCTGGGGCATAGGCCAGGCTCAACATACATCCCCCCAAACACGTACACGCATGCACACTGACACACACACACACATACTTGCGCACACACACTATACCTAGGGTTAAAGTGCAGAAAAACAAAGGGTATGGGGGCGTTTGTATCAGTCATAATACATACATTGCTGAAGACCGCCATTTGTTAGATCACAACACTTCCAATGAGGTGCCCATTCAACAAAAACATAACCTTGAGAAAAAACGCAGTTAATCTCGCGCGTGACTTGCTTTGTCATATGTCACCAAGAACTGTTGTGTCACCCAAGCCAATACTGCACCACACGCGAGGGACTCTCAGGCCATGATTTGCCAGTGGATGGTGTTCTTCTAGTTACACGGACGCGCAGTGAAGGCAAGAACCCACCGAATCATGGTTTCCAAAGCAGAGCGCGCGGCCTACAGGAGCGTCCCCAGTGTCTCGGTGGAGAGCAGAGAAACTGAATACGACGTAGACGGTGGGTCTTTATTTCTTTTGGTGCTACTTTCAGTTTTTTCATTTTTTTTTTTTTTGATAATAAATGAGCGATGTAGCGTAGTTTTGTACTAAGTTTTTCATTCTGCTTTGGAAAAAGTACAATGATTACTAGATTCTTTTAATCGGTGCTACAGTGATAGGGACGTTGATGCAAAATTTTGTCACTATCAGCGGCAAACCAATGCTATTCAAAAGAAAAGTTTTTGATAACGTAAACGGCAGGTAAAATTGTTATATTTTGTGCTCCACAAAAGTCAATTAACCTTCAGTTGGGTTATTTTCTTTGAAATCAAAGATCTAAAAAAGTTATAATATTAGAGTTGTATTTCCGAGAGGACTTTAACTGTGGATGCTGCGTTTTAGCAGTGAGAATTCCGTTTCCTGTTCAGGGACGGGTCTGCAATTATTTACCCTCATAGATTAAGCGGGCAAAGAAAGAGAAGGGTTATTATTGCATGCGTCACGCCATAATCAAGTTTGTTGTCACCTATACAACATCACGTAAAGGAACATTTCAAAGAAAGAGATTAATTGGTGCTTGTTTGCATTTGTAAATGAACCTTGGAACTTTTCAAAGATTTGCCAGTAGTTTGAAATTTGAATCCCAGACCGTTTTCGGTAGTTTGATACCACGGCCGGCTTACTGCCAGCGCTGGTTATGATTCTTGGGGTGTGGTTCGGACTAAAATATAACTGAAAAACATGAGCTTGGTCGTTTGATAACATCACTTAGACAGGGGACCATCAATACTCTCTCTCTCGTGGAAAAAATCTGGATGGGGGATAAAATGATTTGTGTCTCTATCATTCTCTCTCTCTCTTAAGAAATTAGAATTGGACTGGGGGTGGTAAGAGCTTGTATGTGGTACCAATCCACTTGTAGCACAATATCCAAATGCACACGGAGAAGAGAAGTGTAGCCTCAAATATCCTCATATATCAACAACTGGTGGAAGAAAGGTGCCAGCGAAAATAATATCTGCATGATTGTTCTTGCCCCCAATTTATTAGTTTAAAGATGCGTGCGGTTTAATACAGGGTCTCGTGTACAGCTCGTGCCAGGCGCTACATCGTGCGGGTTAGGCTGGTAAGATTGAGGACAAAGGATGCCTTGCATTAAATTAATGGCGAGTAAACGTAGATTTTAACGGTTTTTGTTATGAAGGCTGCGTTAGAAATGTTCGAGTTAGTTTTGCAATTGCTAACTATCCTATGGTATTTTTATTTAAATCATTTTAACCTAAAAAAAGCTTCCAAATTAAAGATCGCTTACGAATATTATAAACGATGGCCATTAAAATCGTTTGAAAAAATGTTCTAAAATACGAAAGGTATGAAAGGGGTGGGGCACATCGTAAACTCAATCAAAACCAGTTTAATATATTACCTTGAGCAACGATTTATAATCTTTGAAAAGGGTCTTCGTGTTTTTAGAATAATTTTGAGCCAAATGTGGTTACCAGAACAAGATTTTTCAGGTCGACGGAATGACCGAAAGAGCCATCTTGTGCAATCTTGTACTTCTTTACAATGCGTTGCTTTAGAGAAGCTCACATGTGGCGGTGACGACGCATTGGTATTGTCAGTAGCGCTATGTTCACTGCCCCGCCTCCCGGTCTGTTGCTTTAGGCGAACTTTAGAAAAATTCTTAGTTATTATTAAATTGCTATGGAACTGCCACTCCATCATTGTGATAGCGCCCAGATATCAATGATACATGAAATCAGACGCTTTTATTGTGTGGTTGAGCTGCCAGACGCAATAGTTTTCTGATTTTTAATCAGTTGAAAAGTTTTTTAAGTGGTTTGTGAAACCAAAGAACTATATAGACTCTGTTAAACCTTTGTGAATTATACTGTGAGAATCCTACTGTATGGAGAGTTTTGTTTCCGATTTGTGAGTGCTGTGGATGACGCTTTGGCTGCTTGCAAAATAAATAAATAAACAAACAAACAAATAAATAAATAAATAAATAAATAAATAAATAAATAAAATTAAAGAAAGAAAAAGATCCTTCCTCATCCTTGTCAAAAACCGAAGTGACCCATTTTCTCACCTGACCGCCCTACTGCCCCCCGCGGACATCGGACACCGGCCAGTAATTATTTAAACTGACAACAGGTTTCTTTTTAAAAACTTGATATATCTGTTATGTAGTGGACATTCGAGGACATTGGTCAATGGAGGCGACAGTGTAGTATAACAGTGCTTTGTGGCTCATAGACGAAGTTACGGGGTTTAAAGTTCAGTGGAATAATGTTAAAAAGAAAAGACAGATGAGACGTCTTAGTAATTTATTTAAACCATGTCCAATAAAGCCCTGCGAACTTTACCTATTATCTAGAGTTCTTAGCAAAAAAACCTATTTATTTGATCTTTAGATATTTAGATATTTAGAACATAATTTATTTCTTAGTAGAATTTATGGCAGCACAGAGAGACCCAGGACAGGGTGAGAGGAAGGGTGTCATTTAGATCGCTTTGAAGCAATGAAATCAAATCCCAGACAAAGTTGATTACCTCTTACAAATAAGAATTGGTACAGTTGTATAACGGTTAAAGTCAGATCTGAAAAAAAGCAGTCTCTCTCTCTCTCTCTCCACCCCACCCCAACCCCACCCTCTTATCAACAAGCTTGCATATAGAACTGTACGTACAGACATATACTCACCAGGTTAATTCTGTACATGCATGTCAGCAAACAAGAGTATTTACCTGCTCAAAACATTTCGCTATTAGACTTGACATATAGGCTTCCAGACAGTATTCAAGTAACAGCACCAAAGCCAGGGATAAGGTATGCACGTCGATACAAGAATGACAACAAAAGTATTTTTTTCGTGGGTCATTAATTCAGTTATAAATATAACACAACTTGATAACTTCAATTTTGCAACATTATACTTTTTTACCCATACGGGACACTACCCCGCTTTGTTAGTTGTGATCGGATAATCACATATGATAGCGTAACCCGAGCAGGCATGATCCAAGGTTATAAAGAAGTGGAGAGCCGCTTTTAACCACCTCATATTGCGTTTTCACCTCCCTGTCGCTCACTGCCTTCAGGACGCATCCCTGGGGATTTGCACTTTACACCCCCAACATGGATAACTCTGTGATAAAATTCCTGCAAGACGCACAACTTGACCACAAGGTGAAATTTTTTGATGACCTGGGTGTTTGGGTCCTTAATGACATGAAACTTGTCAAAGCCGACGAGCATCTCAGGGATTTTAGTAAAAAAGAAAAACAGCACTTCGAAAAGGCGTTGCAGAAATTGGAGAAGACAAGTAAGTGAAATGCTCTATTTAAAAAGTTAATGCACAAAGTAGGTTATAAAACACGAAAAATACAAAAAAAAATCAATGAAAATTACTCCAAAAAACTAGAAATTACGAATCAAATTAAAATAGGTAGGTCTTCACTTATTTTTGTTATGAATTCTATCATACCTAAAAATTTTGAGATTATAAGTCAATGTTGTTGATGCGGATTTTAAGTGTGGAGGGATGTTCACGTCAAATCCATAGGCTATACTGTATATATGACAGAAACAAAGATACAAACGGTAAAATGATCAGGTATACTTCATCACCATTATGTAATGTAATTCTTGTATGTATAATATCCCTCGATATTATACATCATCTCGACTATTAAAAAAGTCTTCCGTTTGACATTTGGTGTAGATTAGAACTAAACACAGACATGCACGATTTGTTACTGAAGATGCGACACCATTTTGCATTTGAAAAAGTCAAACGACGAATTTCTCAGTCTGTTTCGATTTATGATGTTGCAGTAAAACAGGGGACATTGGTACTTGTAGATCTTCTCTCCCATATTAATGGGTCCAAGTTGCTGGTGGCGGACATTGCTGATGCAAAAAGGACAAATTATATCTAGGATTAAAAATAAATTCATTTTGAATCAAGGGTTATATTAAGAAACACTTTTACCCTGTACAGATAGAAACTTTATTCTGAACCTGATTTGGTAACCGACATCTATTAAGTACGATGCAGAGAAAATTAAAACACTTATGCCCATGCAGGCGAATGAAATCACTTACTGGTAATTGGTTATTTTAGTCATGCATGTTTTTTACACGTGCATAATTTTGTGACAAGAAATTTATCTAGTGGCGCAATCAATTTATAAATGCAATTAACACCCTAACTCTTTAAAAATTTTAATTTGCTCGGCGAGAAGCAATATTTGTAACCTTATGCCAGGACATTTCTCTTGGTTCAACAACATGAATAACAACATAAAAAATGATAAAAGATAACATAAAAAAAAGTGCGCGCAAAAAATACTTAACAGACCGTGTCTCACCACCCGTTAACCTGACCTAAGTGTGACATAGACATGGTGTCTCTATCGTCCTTGTCCATGACCTTGTAGTGTTGCCCGATACACATGTTTACAAGTACATCTAAAGGCTCTGTCACACCCAGCGTAAAGAGGTGGGGTCTACATATAAGTATCGTGTTTGAAATCGATCATACATACAACTTTGAGCGCATGAAATCCCCCTTATTCCTGCGAATAAGCAGAGTATGGCATTGTTGTTGGACCCGCTCAAAACATTTAATCTCCCTCTATGCGAACGCACACCAACGTTTGTCTGCGTACTTGAAACGTAAGCGACGTAAGTCTAATGAACCTCTTGTGTTGTGGGGGCAATTTCACACCCGTCAGTGCTATATGCTAGGTGTGACAGAACCTTGTGGAATCAGGAGTGACAACATACGTCTATTCACGTCATTTAAATTTGGTATCACTTGTGAAAAAGTTGTTCTGGGTGTTAATAATATATTTTCAATATAGAAGCATAAGCATAGCAAAAAATATTCGTTTTTGGGAGTAAACAAAATAAAGCTAACGTTTTTTCCTGCAGCGTAGCTCTGTCATTCTAGGTAGAATCTTTTTCTTTTGCGTACCGAAGCCATTTGCGCCAAAAGTTTTACTAGGTACGAATTTGTTTTGAAGCCGAGCGGCGAATTTGGGGAAAGGTTGTTATCTTAAAAAATAGGCACATTTATGACTTACTAATTAACAAATTAAATTCTCTATCAAATATTAGGCAACCTATCGTTCAAGTTATTTTGTAAAATGCTACATCAAAACAAGGCATAACAATGTTACAGAATACATGTACCAATATAAATTTTGCCACCATATTCTTAAGCAAATATTATTCTATCCAGCGAAAAATATTTTACAAATTTTTTATATGTAAGACTATTATGAATAACTACGTAAAGGTATTTATTGTGTTAAACCAGTCAAAATATACGGAACATTAAATTTCTCCACCACCTACCGTGTCTTTGTGACAGCCATCAAGAACATTTCATACATTTGTTGTGCACATTGTGTCTGTACAAGTTGTTTTCACATATAAAAAAGGATAAATATCATTGATATCGAATAAAAATAGACTATCAGATTCTGACGTGGCCCCAGACATATCAAATGATATGTGCAACACAATCAGGATTTCAACCTCAATGTCAAAGAAATAACTTACAAGTAGAGACTAATCCAGTTCAGTACCTTGTATCGAGGTTCCAGGCCCTGAATCCGCATAAACGGATCTACACTGTAGCCTTATAATGATGAGGTTTCACGGTGTATTTTTATCATGAAAAAAGATAACATATGTGACATGTTCTGTCTGGGCTGGAGACAAGAGTCGCTCATGACATACTCTGACTGTAATAAATATAACAAGAAACAGGCCTATAGGCCTACTGTGTAAATGTCCCTGCAGTGGATGTTAAATTGCATTGATTTCTGTTTGTTTGTTTCAATAGTATTTTCCATTTACGTGGTTGTACCCATATTTTTGCCAGTACTTTTCCAGTTAGTGGTGTCCTTTACATAAGTAGGCCTACCTTCTCCCTTAGATAGTAGTCAAATTTGTAGATTATTGCTGTGGAAGCTTATCTACACCGTACAATGTATGTAGGAGGGCACGGGATATAAGATTGTGGATTAAACTATATATCAGCACAATAATTTTTATTTCAGAGGAAGGCGTGAAGACAGATGAAAAGGCCACCCTCTGTTCTGGGCAGAAGGCAGGGGAGGAGGGAGAGGTCTTCACTGTCAATGGTCAGAGCAGAACCAAGCACCATGAAGCCGAGGAGGACAGAGAGGCACCCGCCTCTAGGGGTTGCTGTGCAAGGCTCTCTGCCAGCTGCGCCAGAACTTGCCGCCCGTGCAGTGCTAAACACAACCCCCTACCCCCTGGGGCTTCAAGGGGGGACAAGTTGAAGCACGCTTTTCTCTGCCCACCCCACGGCCTCGTGGCTAAGATGGCGGTTCTGGTGACGTCAGCGGTGATGTTGTGGGCGTGTCTATGGGCCGTCACTGGAAAGGAAGCGCTCCCTGGCGGCAACTTTTTCTCCATACTTGTACTGCTTATTTGCTGCACGATCGGTGGATATGTGTCCCAACTCTGCCGTCTACCGCCGCTGTTTGGTAAGTATACGGGGCACGTGGTACTTGAATTTTCACAACTGACACATTTCATGGAGAAGGTGTCTACGACCCGACGCAATCACAAGTCACACCTAACGCAGTCCCTTTAACAAACGCGACGTGCAATGACATTGTTTGTAATGACGTGCTGGGTGGGGCACGTTTACCATGATCAAAGATAATTATGCTGTAATATCTTATGACACATTGTGTATTAAAAAGAAAGATACGAACATCTATAGATATGTATTTCATCACAGTATTACATCAAATGTATGTCTACATATATTATTACTGGATATTTTTAAATTTCATACCTGCATATTTCATGCATGTTGTATATCTCGGTCTTACAGGAATGTTGGTGATTGGTTTCTGCCTACGTAACATACCTTACATCGACATTGCTAAACATATTCAGCCAGCGTGGGCATCATCTCTCAGGTATATGACTGAATTTGAATGAATTACATTTGCATGATTTATACATGTAAAAACAATTGGCCAACAAAGAAAAAGGTAATTTAAGACAGATGAAAAGTAATTTAATTTCATTAGCATTGACGTTGGTTCCAATTTTTCTCAACCATGTCAGTCACAGGTCAGGAAACAGTGGCGCAAGGGAGATCCCCCTCTATATCGCTTTTTTTTTTTTTTTTTTTTGCTCCACACTAAAACTTTGCTTCCCAAGTGCCTGTATTACAAACGGATTGGTAAAGATTTATAGACATTAGATTTGTTTTTGGAAAAGAAGCTAGAAAAACACATTTTCAAAAAAGCAAGAAAGATAATTCTGAAAAAAGTACATACATAAAACCGTTGATTGCCAAATAACCTTTCTTGCCATATTAACTGTTCACCGATTTTTTTAGATCTTGCACATCAAATTTCCGTTTTACAATTTTCTTGTACATCCTCATAGGTCTGTCGCACTGGTTTTACTCCTGATGCGAGCTGGGATAGGCCTGGATCCTGTAACACTGAAATTATCTTATATATTTCTCATAGGTCTGCCGCACTGGTTGTACTCCTGGTGCGTGCTGGGATAGGTCTGGATCCTGTAGCACTAAAAAGACTGTCCTGTGTTGTGATACGGTTTGCTGCCATACCTTGCTTCGTAGAAGCTGCCGCAGTCGCTGTACCCAGTCACTGGTTGCTAAATTTTGGTTGGGACTGGTGCTTTATGCTGGCGTATGTATTCTATATGTTGTGCATGCTTTAATATTCAATGCTTAGGCAGGTAGTTCACTTATAAGTTACACTGATAGAAAATGGAATTATGATGTATAAAAGAAACTTGATAACTTATCCAAAAAGGTTTCAGAAAAGTACTGAAGTAGTTCTTGTCCGGTCTTCTGATAACACCAAGTTCACGTTGTAATTGAAAAGGGTTCAATTCAGCTTTGCACAGTTCTTTATTACATTAAAAATCTCACAAACCCATCAAATTTCAGTTTTGTATTGGCGGCTGTTTCCCCAGCAGTTGTGGTTCCGAGTATGCTTCACGTGCAGGAGGAGAGACTGGGTCTAGATAAAGGTATCCCAACCCTTGCCATAGCCGCATGTAGTATCAACGCTGTGATCGCCATCAGCGCCTTCGGGGTGTTTCTGGGTATTGCGTTTTCCACAGGTATGTCCATTTGATACACTGACATTTATCCTTCTGATGATTTTTTTTACCCTTGATTTATCCCTTTATTATGAAACTTAACAATACTGACAATGAGGTGAAGTGTCGGATTTCGAAGCACTTATTTTTACTAATTGTACAAATACAAAACGCCAGAAAAAAGATGTGTTTAGAAGGGAAATGTACATAAAAATCAAAACCAAATATCCTTTAACTCTACGTCCAATAAATTCAACAGCTCCTCATCTTCTTTGGCCCCATCCAGAATAGGGGACCAACTAGTCCGAGGGTCAAATATGGCGACCCACTTATCTAATCCGCCAAAAGACGCTGAATAGATATCCCGTGGAAAAGTATTCAAGTGGGTCGGTCATATTTGACCCTCGGACATACTAGTCCCCTATTTTGAATGAGGCCTTTGTCTGAAAATGTCGTAATTATCTGACGTCTAATACCATATCCACACAGGAGAGTTGGCTTTAACAATAGTCCGAGGTCCCCTGGAGGCTCTTCTGGGTGTCGTGTATGGTATCGTCCTGGGGGTCTTGTTGTGGTATGTACCACATAGACACAGTGTAAGTATATGTCATTGTAAATGTTATCTAATATTATTGAGTTTAAATCTTAGTCACGATTCCCGTGTCTGTTTATTCCCCTTCCTTTTTATTACACAAAAAATTCATCATAATTATTTGTTGTTTATATTGTATTTAAAAAAATGAAAAAAACATCGTTTTCCCCAGTTTTTCTAAACTCAGTGACATAATCCATTTCATTTTATAAAATTAAACAATTTTTTACTGTAATAACTCGACCTTTCAATGGGGAAAATTGTGAATTTACCGATTTTTTTAAAGTCATATTTTTAATAAAAACAAAAAAATGAAAAGCTTTCTGTTCTTTATTTTTAGATTATACAGAATACAATTTTTAATGATTTCAAAAATATCTGTTAAGAAAGAAAGATTGATAATTTTTTCCTTTTGGAAAAGATTGAGTCATACCATAATCATTTTATGTCCATCATGTTGTCTTCTCTTATAGAAAAGTATTGTCTTCTTCCGTACTTTCCTGGTGTTTGGAGGTTCACTGTTTGCGTATTTTGGGAGTAAAGCAGCCAAGTTATCGGGTGCAGGGGCTTTGGGAAGTCTGGCCATTGCATTTGTGGCTGCCCAGGGATGGAGAAGGCAAGGTTGGAGCAATGACAAGGTAACGTTCACAACTAACACAATGACAGGAGCAATGACAAGGTAACGTTCACAACTAACACAATGGCAGGAGCAATGACAAAGTAACGTTCACAACTAACACAATGACTTGAGCAATGACAAGGTAACGTTCACAACTAACACAGTGACAGGAGCAATGACAAGGTAACGTTCACAACTAACACAATGACATGAGCAATGACAAGGTAACGTTCACAACTAACACAATGACAGGAGCAATGACAAGGTAACGTTCACAACTAACACAATGACAAGAACAATAACAGTAACTTTCACATCACACATTGCTAAGGAAGTAAAGGTGGGCAACCCTCTCCTCTATAATAAGTGAGATGACATTCAAACCCTGAACCCATGATAAAAGTACGTTATTTAAATCAATCATACATTTAGCTGGATGTTTAAGTTCCATTTAGACTTTTTTTTCCAAAAGAACTGTTTTAAATATTGTAGTTGCATGACCTTATTTGTGTTGAATATGATCTTCTTTATCTGGCAGAACCCAGTTGGCGCTGTGATGGCCAAGTTTTGGATCATCTTCCAGCCATTGTTGTTTGGTCTGATGGGGGCAGAGGTGAAAGTGGAAGACTTACAAGGAGGCAATATTGGTAATGGTTTCTTCATAACCAGCTTCTTCATGATATTCTTTTGTCTTACATATTTCATTTATTGAACATATACTTCATTGCTATTTTGTTTTAAGTCAAACTGTAAATATTTTATGATTGTAGATGTTATTATTACCACAGCGCTCCATGAATCACAACTGAAGTTTTTTTTTTTTAAATGCACTTGAGGCATTGACAACCACATATTTCAAAATTTCTTCATTGGACAACGTTAATTTAGGTTAGGTTAATTTAAGTTTTATATCTATTCACTTTAACACAAATTTCTGTCCAGGAATGGGTTTGGCCGTGCTGTTCATTGGACTATTTCTCCGGCTGGTAGTTTCATTTTTCACAGTATTTGGCACAGACTTGAATATGAAGGAAAAAATCTTCATGGCCATCAGTTGGTTTCCTAAAGCTTCTGTTCAGGTATGTTTTTTATTAAGCTCTTCCTGTGTGAGAGAGAATATTTTAGTGGTTTTGTGTATCAAAAATCTAAAATAAATTTTGATTTAGAAGTAATTTTCTGTGAAACTCTTGCTCAACCACTGCCACCTTCCACTGTCAGCCTTATTGGTCCATATTTGTGATTGCTTGTAATTATATTTCAAGGTTGCCATTTTTAGTGGTTTTGTGTATCAAAAATCGAAAATAAATTCTGATTTAGAAGTAATTTTCTGTGAAACTCTCTCAACCACTGCCACTTTCCACCTATTTGTCCATATTTGTGATTGCTTGTATTTATATTTCAAGGCTGCCATTGGCCCTGTAGCATATGACACAGCTAAGGCTTATAATGCTGGCCCAGAAGTCCTGGCACTAGGAAAACAGGTACACAACACTGGCACATTTATCACACTGGCACTTTCAAAATATAAGATAAGATAATAATTTATTAAACCAATAAAATACAAATATATAAAATCGGGAATCTTTTGCCCTGTTATAGCGCCATTGTTGAATAAAACTTTTTAAATATACTAAATGAATTATGTATTTGTTTTAAAAAGAGTTACTGATAAGGGATAAAAGCTAGATAAAAATTGCTTCCTACCCTTAAAAACTAAAAGCCTTGAGTTACTGGGTGAAAATTTGAATACGGTAACTCTGACTGGGTACAGAATTTTGAAAAAAATTAGGAAAATATGACATGAAATTAAATATGGACACAAGCTATTGATAATTTCACAGTTATTTGACTAAATTATACACTTTTCTATTATTTAAGATACTGACAATTGCTGCCCTGTCAATCCTCATAACAGCACCACTCGGAGCGGCAGCCATTGCACTAACTGCGCCACGATTCTTGAAGAAAATCCCCAAGGAGGAGGAAAACATTGACAAAGACAACATGGACTTTGAGGCTCAAGGAGACAATGAAAGCAAATACCAAGAGGGCGAGAGTTCCAAACTGTAATTTGAACAGTTTTGAGGGAAATAATTTTGATTGTTATGGGTGACATCTTTCAAAGTGACGGATCCAGGAAGACTTTATTTTTGACAGCAGATCAATGAACTCTTGTTTGGTAAATCTGGACAACAGTTCATTAAGGCCAGACAAAATTTATTCATCAGTTAACAAGTGCGCTCACAGACCAACATCAAGTTTTGTCTGTACTAAGCAGTAAGTGATGCCATAGCCGACTTGAATCCAGAGAAACCAAAAATCCAAAATTGGCTCAAAACAGACTATAAATTTCTGCATTAAAGTTAAGTTTTTGACACGTCTTTTTTCTTTGTGAAATGTGGGCACTAGTTTCAACTCAGTCACCACATGCAACATTATTTTTCACTAGCTTTATGTATTTTTATATCTATACATCATAATCATAAAAACGATGTTGGTATAGAAAATCAGTTTTAACAGAGTACGGCAATACAAGGCATACGTATCAGCATTTATTGAGACCAATGGAATTCATTTATATATTGCATTCATCTTTGCAGCATTTCAAATCTTCTTTTACTGATAGCTTGTTATGGAGTATTATGTGTTTGCTGGAATTCACTACATGCTTGTTGTAATCTGGTATGAAATGCTCAAATCTATAAGAAATATCAATACTCAGTCTTTTCTTTTCATTTTGGTCTAAAATAGATTTGTTTGTTAAGGAAATTAACCATGTTTTAAATTTTAACCTGTATTTTAATAAAGGGTACTTTTCTTGCATTTTGTTTGTCACCATTATTCAACACATGATTCTTATCAAAATGTATTTTATCTTTATTGCAAATTGTAGTAATTGTCACTTATGGTATAAACAAATCAAGGAAAACTACCAAACCATTTTAGCCCCTTTGCTGGTAAATATTTCTCCTCCAGAAATTTTGCATCGCTTTGTCCCAGCTGTGACATTTTATGTAGATTATAAATTAACAAAAGCTCTGTTTCAAACATTTAAAGGGATAATAACTCTTTGTATGAGATCTATATTTCACAATAAAAACATTGTGAACACATAGAAATATAATATATTCTGTTTTACCACAAAAACGGCAGTTATAGCTTTTATTCTGATATCTGAGCTTGTCTTCAGATCACGTGACCTCCATTGATGGCTGTACTCTGTTATAATCTCTTAAAGCAATAATAACTCTTCCTTTGAGATTCAAAATTCCGCAAGAAATACATTGTAAACAACTCATGGACATATATTCTATTGCATTTTACCACTAAAACAGCCGTTATTGTAGTAAAACTAAAATCTGTGCTTGTCAATAGGGCTTTCGATGCCTTTCTTCCCGGTCGTCAAGGCTTCTGTTGCCAATGACGTTAAGGTGTCACACGGATTCTCGCGTTCATTCGAGACCAGAATAACATCTGGCGCCAAACCCCTGATGCAATACACAGACGTAAGTTGCGAGTTTTTGTACAGTGCGTCGGATAACAAAAAGACCAGAATTGCACATATTGTAGATATAAATGCATTTTGAGCAATAAGACGGATATATCTTATGAATCTTATATTATTCTTATATAGCGTTGTTGTTGTCTGCTTTTCCATGGGTTATAAGTAGGTCACTAGAAACTATCGCTCAATGTCGCGTGACTATGCAATGTCAGAGAGGGCTCCGTTTAGGAAAAAAAAACCTGGACTAACTTTGAATGCAGGAATGGGGTTGCTGACCATTGGTAAGTACGGGAAAATTGCTGTTTACTCCAGGAAAATCCAATTTTTGGATTTTTGGAAACAAAGAGTTATTATGACTTTAAGAGATTTTAACAAAAAACCAAACTTTTTAGAAAAAAACCAGGGACTAACTTTGAATGTAAAAATGGATTCATTAACCATTGGGAAGTATGGGAAAGTTGTTATTTACTCCAGGAAAATTCATTTTTTGACCAAAACGAAGTTATTATCCCTTTAAGTGGCTCAGTGAGCACATAACTCTTAAGTCATAATTTTCAATTCTTTATTTCTTCAACATCTCCAAATAACAATTAAAATATGTTCAAAACAGAAGATCAACTTATAAAAGATTTCATATCAAAGGAATATTCATAATGGGTTTAGCGTTTTTTTTTTTTTCAACCACCAATACACTACCCCTGATTCCTTATCTAGCAGTAATACCATGCAAAAATGTTTCAAATTAAAACCATGGCAACAAAAACAATTTAACACAATCAGTTCGTTTTAAATATATCAAAATGTGATGTCCTCAAGACAATATTCAAGCACTTAACTGCACATTTTAGTAAGTAAAAAAAAAAAAAAAAACTTGTTGAACATTACAGCACTGAATTACAGTATCCATACAATGTCAAATATATTTTACAATTAAATAAAATAATAATAATTATTACGATGAATCTCAACTATATTTTTGACTAAAGGCACTTTAAAATTTTTCAAAAACACTTTCAGTCAGATGTAATTCACATATTAGAACATTTTCACAAAGCTGGAAAATGCTGCTACAAAACAGTTATGACAAACACATAAAAACCCCATAACCTTTTCACTGTTACGACACTCAGTACATAAAAAAAAACACTTCCTCCATCTAAACATGGCATTTTCAACAATCATGTGTAACAGTCTTCTTAAAAGTACATTTATAACCAATAAAACTAGAGGATCAGAGAGGCGATACCGCCTCCGAATATTGTACCACCAGCTGGAGTAAGCGCTATCGTATAGACCCCCACACACACAAAAAAGGGACACCACCCCCAGTCTCATGCTTGACAAGCTGTAAAGAATGCAATCATTAAGAATTCTCAAAATATGCAAAAAAATATATATATAACTAAAAATGGTATAATCAAAGTTCAGTTCATAGTGAGGTAGGTCAAAGGTCAATTCAAGGTCACAGTAAATTTCCAGTAAATGATTTCTTTTTCAAGTTCAATAGCAACTATGGGCCTNCTGGGGCCCTCACCGTCTAGGAGGAGAAGCGGTAACGGTAGCCGTCCGGCGGAGCCGCAGGAGCCGGCGGAGCCGGCGGAACGATCCGGACGGGACCGAAACCATGTGTACCGCCAGCGCTAACGCTGGTGGTACAATAAATTTGCCTTCAGTGTCATATGACTAAAAAAAAACCCAATACATTAATGTCAATATGGGATAATTTGCATGCAAAGCATAGGTAAACTACTTTGAAAAAGTAAACAAAATTTAACAGAAAACAGGTCTGTGCATCCAGACAATTCAGAAAATTAAAAGGAATATACATGATAGATTTCTCCATGGAAGGTTTTAATGGTCAAAAGTGTATATTCATTTTTAATTCCTATTTCAACATTTTAAATTCCTTTATATACATTTGTTATATGATTTCTGAAAATCCTTCATAATTTTTCCTTTAGTTTAATAAAACAAGTGGAAAAAAAGAGAATTTAAAAGTGATCTTTAGGCTTCTTAGATTCAGTATTTCATAGTGAGGATTTGACAACCAGAGCAGTGAAGAGGAACAAAGCAAACCTTTCACAGTGATAAATCATTTAAAAAAAATGTAACACCCCTAGTATAAGGGCTGCCTTATGAAATATGGTCTATAGCTTTAGAAGTTATTACTTTTTTTTTCTTTCAGAAACTTGTTTTCCAGGAATCACTGTCCTGTTACATATTGATACAGGGACGATGTCCCAGGCAAAATTCCACTGACACCTCTAAAGCAAAGGATCCCAAAGCATCAAGGAGGCTGAGGCAGAAGAGGCCATCAAGAAGTGGTTAAAATATGTCAGTGACAGAGATGGGGGGAGGAGGAGGCTAGAGAGGAAGGAAGGTAATATATTTAGCAGAAAAAAACACATTCCTAGAATATGCAAGAGGGTGGCATCTTTGACATAACAGTGGCTAACCACCGCTAGTAATAGCTCATAAAGACTTTGACTCAACGTTGGCAAATGGTTGGCATAACAGTGGCTGACTGCCCGTTTTCTGTAACAACATCGGCTGCCAACGTTGGCCCAGCCGTCTGCACAACCTCTGTTTGCTATCTGGGCAATCTTCACAGCCACACAGTCCAAAATTATCACAACACTTTTACAAGTGAAAAACACTGAAGAAACTGCAGATGATTGCATGGATGATGATCTTATCAAAGACCTAGACTACGAGTCATGCTGTAAGGTAGACAACCAGCCATTACACAGTGCCTCAGTCAAATGTGTGCATGTGCAGTTGTAGAGAAGGTTGTTCAAGAAGGAGAAAAAAGCGCGGATGCCTCTGAACACCAATACAAAGTTTAATAGAAGAATCTCTGAGACTGCTGGTCATCCAGCTGAGGTAAGACCAATTTTGATATTTATACCTGCTAGTTCAAAGCCCTGGTGATTTGTGCCATAATTAACGGAGACAAATTGAAGAATTTATCTGCCGTGGAGTTTTCGGGCCATGTAGCCGGACTGAATCTCTGGCATGTGTAAGTATTGCGATAGATGTGCGGACCAGCACAATGGAAGTCTATTGAGTGGCGGATGCCCTTTTGTTCGCTAACCGGAGGGCTTGGTGCGTTTACTGACGTCAAGGGTGGCCAGATCCCCTTGATGAGCGAAACCAATATTTTATTGGTCACTAAAATTCCTTTATTTTTAGTCTCATCCGCTGATTTCGCATTTTGTCTTTAACGTAGAGCAGTATACAGTAGTAAATTTCTCATCGAAGAAGAACGGAGGAAAATTAGAGTAAACGAGCCAGCGAAACAATAGAAAGTAAGCATAGTAAATAACTACTACTTTATAGTTTAAATTTAAGTTCCAAGTTTAATATACTGGTATGTAAAAGTTGCCTTACGTACGTTAAAACGTCTAGTTCCAGTTAATGCCGTTAAGCGCTACCGACATAGATCATACTTTGCGTTTTGTACTTTTGTTAGCACAGTAATACAGTAATAGTTTGTGCATTGTTGCCTACAGTGCTCTAACGGGAATGATATTATGTCATACTTCTCAGGTCATGTTTGTAACGGGTCATTAGCGAACGCTAGTACGGTTGTGTTGAGGTTTGCATTGCCTTGACACATGCGGCGTGCTCCCTGTATTTTAGTACATTGAATGCGACCTATGATGTTACACGTACCACTCATGTTGTATGTATGGATAAGAGACAATTAGTGTTCGTTGTATTACGTCTGAATTACGTAATATTCTTACATAACTTGGTATTTTTGATAATTACTATTTTTGTGTTATTTATATTCTAGAATAGAAGGAGAGACTGCCCAATTGTATGAGCGGACTCCGTTTAGGTGTTTCATTTATCAGGGAAATAGTTCAATACAGATTCTGGAAACTAACTGAGACTTGTGTTTTATTTCTGTGACTAGATTTATCCCAATCACTGACAAAATAATAATTAGCCCGGCTACACATGTTTGCTACCAATTTTTGTAACTGTTATTTAAATTTTGGAAGAAAAACCCCAAGCATGGACTGGTGAGTGCATTTAAAGTACTTTTTAGGATAGTTTTTAGGAGTTTTTTAGAAAAAACTCAAATTTTCATCAGCACATGTGCTACAGCAGAAACAAAATGGCGACACACGCTAGAATTTTTGTTGACTTCGCCAAAGTAAGGGAGTTTCTGAGGATACCGGGTCTCATGGAAGACCAAGTATTTAAGATAGCAGAGCTGAGACACCCTGAGCTTCAGAGATAACTTGAAACTAACCTCTTCACTACANTTACAGTTGCAAAGAGATTGCCAAAAGGTTGCAAGCGCAGTGTGACCTAGGTTTAAGGTTGCACAGTGTTACCCAGGC